AACAAAAAAAATCGTATTCTATTCTTTAAAAAATAGATGGTAATAGCAGTTATTTTGCAATCTGTTTTTTTCTGAAGAAATAGTGTTAATGTTAGTTGGTGCTGTTATCAATAGTTAAAATGCAGAAATATACTGAAATGTCAAATTTTTATAGCAAAATTTTTCAACATTTTAAAAAACATCTTTAAAAATGCTGTATATTTGATTGCTAAAATATGTGATTTATAATTCGCTATTCGCTTCTAACAGATAACAAAAAATTTTTGCAGCAAATAACAGTGATAATATTGGCAATATGAGGTAATCAGGTCTAAAAATTGATCAAAAACTTTTTGAATTATAACTTTTTATAAATAACATTTTCAAAATGATTGACTGTTATATGTTATCATCTAAGAGTTTTGTTTTGCAAAATCTCTTGGAAACACTGGCAGTATAGTAAATGTTAAAGCTAACAACTGAAAATAGTCTTTTGAATTAGACTGTACAATGGATGCAAACAATGCTTAACACTTGTCAGTTTGTAGAATCATTATTATTGCTTAAAATTTTAGCCAAAATCAGTTGTACTTTTCAAATCAGATTGAATCAGATTTCAAATCAGATCAGATCAGATTTTCAACGCTTCTTTACAGTACTAGAAAAAAAATAACTACAGCAGTATAACTTAAAAAAAGATACGATTAGATTTCTATAATAGAAATGACAATATTAAACCAAAAACAATGAAATTTTTCTTGTCTGTATAATCTTAGAATATACAGTTGCAAGGAAAACAAAATTTGTGGTATAAACTGATGGAATCAGAATCATTTGGGTGACTTTAGTTGAACAGTTTTTCACTTATCACTTTACTTTTTTATTCAGCATTTGAACAGACGCTTTGTTTTTGTTCTTTTTTATTTTTTGACAAACTTTTATCTTTTCTCATTGCTTTTAAATTGCAAATTAAACGGGCATCTTTTTTGGTGTTCTTCAATCAGTATAAATTTCAACAATTTATACACTGTTATGCAGAACATTTTTTTTTTCAAACAAAATTTATATCTTTTTTCTTTCAATTTTTTCCCTTTTTTTTTACCACTACAGTTTGAAAGAAAGAAAGAAAGACAGTGCGTTACACAGCAAACAATTCAATTAACAAATTTTTAAATACTTGAAAAAATTTTAAAACCAAAAAAGGAAAAAGAAGTTGACAAATATTTGTACTTTTTAGACGCGATTTAACCACTTTTTTTTATCGGTCAAAACTGACAACAAATTATTAGTATCAGTTACACAAATGACCACAGAAGTTATTTTCTGTAATTTGAAATGACAAATTTTTCAATTTCTCAGTTTTTTATTTGTACTTACTGAAAGGTTATAATGTTAATAAGATAGAAGTTGTATCATTAAAAAAATCCTCAAATCTTTCCCCCCCCAAAAAAAAGAAATAAATGTAACAGTGAAGTTAAAATTATTCTTATAAAGAAGGAACTTTTTAAATTTATAATTATTTTTCTTTTAAAAAGATATCATTTCAAAGTTAAACTAACATTATCACCAGTGGTTTAACAGATAAAACTATTCAGTTTGCAGTGAGTAAAAAAGAAAAAATTTTCGATAGCAAAAACTATTTCCAAAAGAAAAAAAAAAACCCTCTGCAAATTTATTACTGATATCTGTCGAGAAAAAAAACTTAAGTAAGAAGACAAATACAAACAAAAAAAATTTGTTTTTTTAAACAGATTTATTTTGTTTTGCAAAAACGATACTGAATTAAGCAAAAAAAGAAGGAAAAAAAAATGAACTAAAATTGCTGCTGGAACTTTTGTTGCTTCTGATACTGCTGTTGCTGCTGATGCTGATACTTCTGACGCTTCTGATGCTGCTGCTGCTGCTGCTAATACTTCTGACGCTTCTGATGCTGCTGCTGCTGCTGATACTTCTGATGCTTCTGATGCTGTTGCTGTTAACTTAGCAATATATAAATCAAACAGTTTAGCCAGTGGTGTTCTCTCAAAAAAATTTCGTTACTCCGTCTTTGTATTTCCTTATTCCACATTTTTTAAAATCTATTTTTTTTTTTTTTTAGAACCAGCAAATATAATTATCGAAAAAAAAAAGAGTTACTTTTATAATGTTAATAAACTCATTGAAAACAAACATAGAGCTTTTTTTTTTTGCTTAAATTTAGCTTAAAATAGCTGCACAGAGAGGTTTTTTTTTTGCAATAAAATAAAAAAAAAAATTATTGATACAGTAATTAGAAAAAATATAAAAAATTCAGTCATAAAGATGTGAAATGCTTTTTTTATTTTTTTTTGGATTTTTTTTTTTTTATTTTTATCGACGCTGTAACATCGTATTTTACTTTTTTTAATTTTAACTTTCTATAACTTTGTTTAATTTACTGAACAAAGTTGTCGTCTGAATAATGTGCAAAAAAAAAAAAAGTCAGTATAGATACATTTGGTGGTACTTTGTATTACAGTACAGTTGATGGTAGAATTTATTTTTGCCTGTTTCCTTCTGATGCAGCAAATCTCAATTTCTTCTGGGGTTTTTTTTTTTCCTATCGTTTTCCTAGCTGATATAGTTGTTATAAAAAAAAAAATGTGGTAAAAAAAGATTCAAAAGTTAAACAGAAAAAAGTGGTCAACAAAGAATTTGTAAAAAAAAAAAAAAAAAATTGCGGAGTACATAATTGAACTTTAACATCGAAAATTCATATTATCGAATTGTTTTACAGAAATTTTAAGAGCAAAAAAAGAAAAAAAGAAGAAAGAATATATTTGTTGAAAACATATTCATTAGAAAACAAGTTGGGAAGTAAAAAAATAAAGATGCTGTATTTCTTCTTCCTAAATATTGATGTTTTGAGAAACCAAAAAAAAAAAAAAAAGCTAAGATGAAAAAAAAACAGCAA